AACGGCATTGTCTTTTGCAAGACCGCATGTAAAATTGCGAAAAAAATTACGATTGTACCTCATTGCTTGAATTCAAATGAAACCGCCCGCCGGTCTTTCGAAGTTAGACTAACTTCGAACTTTTACCCTAAAAGTTTGAAGTTCGTCAAACTTTTGAGTTTTCAGGAATCGGAAGTTCGACAATTTTCAAATTCTTTAGATTAATAAGTTTGAAAGTTCGAAAATTGTCGAATTTCTTAGCGTAGAAAATTCGAAAAGCTTCGAACTTTTTAGTGCAAGAAGTTCGAAAGTTTTAAAGTCATCAAATTTTTTAGTCTATCAAGTTCGAAAGTTCGACAAGCATCGTGCAGCGTAATAAGTTCGAAATTTCGAAAAGCGTTGAACTTCTTAGTTTTATAAGTTCAAAAATTCGACTTCTGTCGAATTTCTTGATATGGAAAGGTCGAAAATTCGAAATCTTTCTAACCTTTTGAACCGCTTGATTCAATCATCGAAACTTCAGTTCGAAAAAAGTTTGCGGCATCCCTAATGAAAGCTATTATTTTATATATTAAATATTTAATGCAGTACCAAGTTCATCCGTATTATGAAAACCTATATTCAGGCTAAAATAAAAAGTGATATCTCAGCAAATATTCATCATTCTTTCAATCAATCTTTATTTGCATAAGAACTCAAGTGGGGGGGGGGGTCCGTTCGATCAAGTATCTTTGCTGTCCGAAAAAGTCGGATGTTTGCTGCTATGTTTGTTAACAGGAATCTATTTGTCTTTTAGGACAAATAAAGGCATGAAAAGAACAGTTACAGAAAGCATGATGTGACAGTTACAGTAGGGTGGCCAGCTTTGTTGGTGTGTTTTGCCTATGGTTGTTGCTTCAATCTTCAGCTAGGCTAAACAACAATTTCTCCCCAGCAAATTTAGAGGTCCAATCTGCGAGGTCGTTGCCTCAGTCATTGGGGACGACTAGCATTTGTCATATTTTCTTGAGGTTTCTCCCTTACAGCGCGACTGCCATGGCCTACTGCTGGTGTGCCACTTATGCTGCTAACTTGTTTTGGAGTTTGCAGATGCGTCGTCTCTGGCATGTCATCTGTCGCTTCCACACTTGGGCTTGGGCAAGCATCTTTTTCGTCCCCCGGCTCTGGTTGGCTTTGGTGGATGGAGTGACCAGTATGTAGCTGGTCAATGTGTCGATTCCAAGTGGCTTCTCTGACTTTTACTTGGTATAGCCGGTTCTTCTCACAACTGTTCCAGGTACCCGCTTGCTCAGGCTGCAGTAATCTCACACTGATACGGGGTCTCCTTCCAAAAAAAGAGTGCATTTGTCTGTTCTGAACAAGATTTTGTTTTGGCTCCATGTACATTTGTCCGTTCAGATATTGTCGCAGAAGTGTCGGTTCAGTTCGCAGTTCACGATCGAAAAACGGTTTGGCAGGTGCCTCACCAGTTGAACAATGCGGTGTGGCGCGATATGCCTACAGGAAGTTTGCCAGCTTTTTTTTTGTTGAGCCTTCCCCCTTCATGCTGTGCTTGAAGTATTGCAGAAATATTTCTGCAAGTTCATTTGTCGCAGGCTGGTATGGTGCACTGAATGTGTGCCGCACGCCATTCTCCTTGAGAAAGGTCTGAAATTCTGCCACAAATTGGGGACCATTGTCAATGACAATGCGTTCAGGAAGTCCATTCACTCTTCATATGAATGCAAACAGCAGAAACATAGTGCATCACCTGTGGCCCTGCTCACAGTAGCACTGGCTTCTGCGACATGCTGGAATTATTCTAAAGGCAGATCCGGCCCTTAAACGTGCCCTCTCCTGCAATATTCGCCGCTGCAACCGTTTCTGGGTACCTCTTCCCGCATTCCAAAACAGCAAGTAGGTCGCTAATGCTGGCTGTCATTGACGACGTAGCAGACGCCATCCTCTTTGTGACCTCAGTTGGCGGAAGTGAGCCACTCGAGGTCAGTGAGCTCAGTTTTAGTTCAGCTATCGTTGGCAGCTCAAAGAGGGTTAGTACTGCCGTGTAGAACTGCGACCAGTCACGATTGAGTCAACTGTCATTGGCTCGAGGACACCTGAGAGTGCCAGTGTAACAGGGGTGTTATTACCATATTTTTAGAACTGTAGTCCGCTAAGACAAATTTTGGTCGAAAAATAAGAGCTTTTGCTTATATAGTCTGCACCTATACTCTGTTTCGTACATAGCGTGCAACGCTGAGAAAGGTACTGAAGTAGTGCGCATGAAAAAACAAAAAAATGTGTTACTCCGCGCGTTTCGTGGACGAGCGGTATGAGGCGCTGCTCTGGCGATACTGACGTCTCGGTAGCGGTGGCTCAAATCCACTTAAAGCGCAACTTTTTTTTTTTTTTTTTTTTACCTATTTTTTATACATGACTTTGCACATTGGGGACATGCATATTTCAGTTCCTCTTTTCTTCTTGTTTTTTTTATTTATAAGGGGGTAGACTAGGGGCTGGTGTTCCGCTTAAACCCCGCGCCGGCCTCGTCAAAACGGAAGAATGTTCGTGACTTAAGGCTTTTTTACTTCAAGCCGTTTATTTACATGGTACCGTGAAAATCATAGAGTACCTTGGGAGTGCAGTGGACGGTCCTTTATATAACGAATACTGGGATTAGGGGACCGTACTGCCATTGGTCAGACGGCTTGACATTCCTTCCCGTGATGTGACTTAATGGAAGTCTCCTTCAGAGTCAGAATACTCGCCGGTGTATGAGAGTCATCCAGACTACAGTATCTCGCTGCTCTGGTGCCGGCGCCCCCATGAACCGAGAGTGATTCGCAATAGACGCATACACAACACACGGCACTCGAGGTCAGGATTGAGTGTTGTTTCCTTTTCGAGGAAAGCAGGGGCCTCGGAATACAGCCACGGGCATGTGCGTCGTCCACTTAGGCTATCAAGGTTAAGGTGCCTCAGGTAGACGGAGCCGACCAAGGTTACGGTCCCGCAGGCAGAAGAAATCAGACGCGTCGGGATGCAGCCACGGGCATCGTTCGCCTAGCCGACCAAGGTTAAGGTCCCGCAAGCAGACGGAGCCATAGACACGATTCATCACTGGCACGGTTCATTCTTGAGGCTTGTTTCATTTTGAAGCCATAAGGCCGATTTTAACACCAGACATAACAGAAGGCAGTTCACAACACGGTCCGTGTGCTCGAAACTTTCACGTTGCGAGGTCTTCGCTTCGGGGACGCCACCTTGCTAGATAGACACTGCGCCTTGTACTTCGTGACAGTACGGGCCCACACTCCTGTGTCGTTACTGACCGTCTCCAGGACTTCGAAACGCGTTTTTGAACTCGCGTACACATTGGCGATCACCTGTTTGCACTCTTTTGAGATCTTTGCACTACGAATCTTTGAAAATATCCAAGCAGGGTGGGAAGCCTCCTGCGTAAGACGCCATCTTCTCAAAACCGGCGAAGCAGGAGCAGTTGCACAACCCAAAAACCCGAAGCGGTTGCCGCACGAACGAAAACGGAAAACAATTTACAGTAGTTTACATTATATTTTCCTTTTTACTGAAAAAAATTGTTGTTCCGTCGAAATCATAACGCCACTATCAGTTACTAGCTCCGAAGATGCACATTTTCGTCTTTTTTGTTTTTTTTACAGGGGCAGCACTATTTTATGGGGGGAAACGTAGGCGGTCGGCGGCAGTGCAAACCGGTGTGCTAATTTTGGCTGCATTGCACGCTATGTATGAAACGGAGTGTGTGCATGCTCGACACATACACAGGACACCTTGAAAAATGTCTGCTGTATTAATGCACAAAAAGTGCTCATCGTGCAGAAATTATCGCTAACATACAGGGGGATCCAAAAGAAACCTTAATTTGTTTGTACAAAATCGTGTTTATTTTTTCACGTTCAAATTTCATTCACCTTCAAAGTACTCTCCAGCCGATGCAATACGCTTGTCGAGATGTTTATTCCCACACCATAAAAAGCCTCTAGACTCGTCGATCATGATGCCTTTCATGCTCCTGCTGTTTTTTCTTTCACCTCGCCCACGTCGGCGAACCGTTTTCTCTAAAAACTGTTTTCAGCCGGGGGGGCAGGCACATAGCCAGGATTTTGTTTTTTGGGCGGGGGGGGGGGGGGGGGGGCACTTATGACAAAATGCTGTATGAGGGGGAGGGGGGGAGAGGAGGTCCCAGCAAAATGGAAAATTTCGGGGGGCTTGGGTCCCATGGCCCCCCCCCCCCCCCCGGCTACGTGCCTGCCGGGGCGAAAAAATAAAAGCCACACGAGGCAAGGTGGAGTCAATAGGGAGGGTGGTCAATGGGGGGGTCATGCCATTTTCAATGAAAACTGAACACTTAGTGCGGTATGGGCAGGTGCGTTGTCATGGTGGACGAACCCGTCTCCTGTTTGCCATAGCTCGGTCTGCTCAATCTACGTGCACAGCGCTGAGTGTTCAGCAGGTTTTGACCAGAAATGGCATCACCCCTTCCTATTTACCCAACCCTGCCCCGTGTGACTTCTTTTTTGTTTCCTTGGATTAAAAGAAGTTATCAGATGGAAATGGTGTGCCGATGTGTTAAGAGGTGAAACAAAAAATGGCGGAAGTACTCAAAGGCGTCAAAATCGACGCGCTTAAAGGCTGTTTTGACAAGTTATTTCATCAGGCGGAAAGTACTTTGAAGGTGACTGTAATTTAAATGTGCAAAAATAAATACACAATTTTGTAAAAATAAATCCTGGTTTCTTTTGGGTCCCCCCTTGTAGTCTGTTGTTTCTGAAATCACTCTCGTCTCGTCGTAATGAACAACCTTGATAACATAAATTCTTGTATAGTCTGCAACTGCAGCTTGTCTGCATAAAATTTCAACTTTTAAAACTGCATAGTCCAGAAAATGTTGTAGTCTGTTGCTTATCTTTGTTCTATTTGTGACAAGTTCTTGGAAACACTGTTTTATGCCTTGCCTTCTAGTCACATTATTTGTGAAGTTTGTGTATATGCTGTGCTTTCAGGAATCCTTCGTGAGAGCCAGCTGTATGACAAGCTGGAGCAGCTGGTCCAAGGAAGCGAGTTTGCAGTATATGGGGATCCTTCCTATCCTCTCCGCCTGCTCCTGATGACACCCTACGAAGGATCAGAGCTGACGAAGCCACAGGAGGGGTTCAACGCAGGGATGAATGCCGTGAGACAGGTGGTTGAATTGGGATTGGGGAAAGTCGTGGCCCAATTCGCCTTCTTGGACTTTGGACAAAATCAAAGGATGCTACTGCAGACGGTGCCGCGGATGTACAAGGTCGCTGTGATCCTTGCTAACTGCCATTCCTGCATGTATGGCAACCAGGTCTCGACATACTTCGGCCTGGAGACACCTTGTCTTTTCGATTACTTGCAACCGGCTGGGCAGTGAAACCAGGTTTTATTGTTTATTCATTGGCATTTTTCAGGAACCATATTTTTTTTTTTACTGCCTTGAGCTGTGTTTTGCAGGCTGCTTTGCTCCTCTTCTTGCCGCAGCTCACCGGCCTGTAACTGCATTTCTTGCTCACATAGCTGAGACTTTTCCATTTTCTGTTCTTTTAGTTCACACTTTTTTGCCATCTTTGTAGTTTTGCCTGAAGGTGTACCTTCTCCAGTGCCATACATTCAAGCTCCCATTCTAGACTCCCTCTCCTTGAGGTAACTCTCATTCCGCCAAAAAGTTATCTCGTGGTTCACACTTGGCTCCGTCGCTTGTGACCTCGTTTTCCTGCAAAATTACATTTGATGTGCTGTTTGGCAGACTAAAACCACAAACCAGCGGCATTGTGTTCTTTTTTTGCCTACAAGTTAATAAACTGATTATGTAGTCACATGAATAGTCTTAAGTTATTCTGCACCGTCGTTAGCTTGCTTCTGCAATGGTTGTGCCCTGCATCCTGAATCCTGTGCACTGCCGGCTCATTCATTTCTTGTTCCCTGTGGGTATAGGCTGAAGCTGCTTGAAGCTCCAGCAGTGTGGCTGGTGCGGCCCGCTGTCTCGGGTAGCCAGCTTTCTTGAGCCTGCTCAGCTGCAGTTACTGGGTGCTGTAGCAATTGTGGTGCTGTTCTACACTATGCGTTTTCCTTGGCTTCCGGATAAGATTATCTGGAGTCGTGCGGGACTGTATTTCTTTTCTTTGCCCGGCTTTGATTGGTACAGGGTTGAGTGCAGACATTTCATTGAACGGCGTCATTGAACATTGTTTCATTGGAGCCGTTTCATCGAACACAGTTTTATCAAACGCCATTTCATCAAACGCCATTTCACCAAAGCCGTTTCATTGAACGCCGGCAACTTGAGCAGTAGTAATTCTACATCTAGGAAATATTTTTCTTTTTAGTGCCGGGAGGGTAGCAATGTTTTAATATTTATTATAATTCATAAACTTATATGTGTGCAAAAAAAAAAAGAAACCTTTTTTTGTCACCTTTTTTTTAGTAAATGATGACCTCTGTTAATGTGGCCAATAAGAAATGGGAACACTGCTGACACTTTTTAAAGCTGTGATCATCAGGTGCAGTGATGAATGCACGTCTGTTCAAGGGCATATTTATCTTCGTCCTTGAGGAGACCTATTCTGCTTCAAGACGAAGCCGTCCTTGAAGCAGTGATCTGTCTCCGTGTCCCATGATACGGGGGAAAAAAAGACGTGTCTCCCCTCTTCGTTAATTCATTGTAACCGACAGGACCATGAACCTGCCGGATATTCGACACACAGAATATATACTGCATGTTGAAGATCCCACAGGCCGACGGTTCTGTCTGTTACAATAAATTACCGAAGAGGGGAGATGCGTTTTTTTTTTAGGAACATATATGTTCTTGAAAAGAAAGTTATTCTCCTAGGATAGAATGAAACATAGGTAAATCGACAAATACAAAATAAAAAAGGCGCTGAGGAGAATAGCTGTTTATCTCCTAAGAAAGTGCCTTTCACGGGTGAATAAATAGAGGGATGAAGTGGAAAAAAGTGTGTGGCTGAGAACAGCCACCTACCTCGCCAGAAAAGAATAAATAGCGTATTCACTCAAATTTTGATATGATACCTTCTATGATTCAGTAGCCAACTTTTAGGTGGACAAAAAATTTACCGGGTAGTAATTCTATTTCTGGTGAATTTAGAGTTGCGTTAAAACTATTTCAAAAGCAATAGTAAATTATGTAAAAGGTATTGTATTACTCTAAAATTCAGTAAAAGGAAATTCTATGAAACGGCATCAAGTGACTCATTGAAATGGCGTTCCATGAGATGTCCACTTATTCGATAAGATAACATTCGAGGAAATGTCCGGTACCTGTAAGGGTCATTATAAGCCAGACTGCTTTTCCAATAAACGGACATCGTCTTCCAGTGGCAGAGAGTATATTTTTCGGCAGCCGTTCCTTCGTCGAACCGCCGGAAACGTAACGGTGCCCTCGCAACCACGTCGTCGATATACATTTGTTAAAAAAAAAAAAAAAAAAAAAAAAAAAAAGCTGGAATGCTGTTTTTATATCATCTGTGCCCGCTCCAGATGCTATCGACCCTGAAAAATGTGTGACATGTCACAAAGGGCTGGTTCATCATGTGTATCTCGTAAAACGTTTGCATTAGTGATTGATGTCTTGGTTGAACAATGCAACCCTGGCTGTGGCTAAAAACTTGCTGCCTTATATATTTCTAGTCCTTGGGGAGGAGCACTCCATGTGTACGATGTTCATACCACAATCTTGCGCAAGGCTGGGGCTAGGGGGGTAAGCAGCATCACTAACACCGAAGAAATCCTACCAGTGAGATGAGTACACAAAGAAGCGTGGCATGAGGGCAAGGAAAAAAATCTGCTGGTGACATGAGCTTGTAACAATACTGCTGGTGTACTCCTACAGGTGGTGTGAATCTTGTGTTACTATCGTAAAGGGCCTTTGGCTTTGCCTCCACGTGGCCGGACAAAAGCTCACCGGACAGAAGCTCACCGGACAGAAGCTCACCAGACAGAAGCTCACCGGACAAAAGCTCACCCATTTTTTTCACAAACCCGGGCAGAAGCTCACTTGGAGAAAATTTCATGCTGGTCTTAACACGAGTGCAGACAACTTAGGTGCGTACGTGCGACACAAATGCAACGATAAATTAAATATGACAAGTGCATGGTTTGTTGATTACAGTAGAAACAAGTTCATTTATCGATTGGTTAGAAGCGAATGCTGTCTTTTACTAGCTCCAGCAGTCTTGGTGAATATGGGTGTACCTGGAACCCCTCGAAAATATTTTTCAGACGATTCTGCAGGTGCAGAGTGGGTTTTTGCACCCGCTTCTCTGAGGGTTCACCTTTCCGGACTTGTGTCAATGCCGTGGCAACGAGCGCCTGATTTTGCTGTAGGCATTCAATCAGCCTCCAGACGCTTGGATGGGCGTGGCCGACAGGCTTCTGAAACCCGGTATTCCATCCTTTGCAGGTGTTGTTCGTTCGGTCTTTATCGTGAAGAGTGGAGTCGTACATATTCCACCGCTCCTGGGGAAACTCTGGTCGTCGTCGGCGCACAGTCAGGCAAAGGAAAGAATGGACCTTTTCCGAGAAGCGTCCTGCGCACGCGCGAGCGCCCGATGCCAAGCGGCGGAAGTCGGAACGAAAAATTGAGGAAATTCGGAAGGAGGTTTTATATTAGCGAGCAGAACACGTAACTGGAGTATATATATGTAATTGTGTTACACAAAAAAAGAACGTCGACGGAAAGGAAAACACGACGTTTGGGTGGACGCCACGGATTCCCCTCTTTAAAGTCGCGCTGGGCCGGCTGGGCACGCGCAGCTGCTCTGAAAGCTAAGAAACTGGTAGTGTAGCCTCCATAATCGATTGGTAGCGCAGGTAGGTCACTTCCTCGATTTTTAGTTTGTGCAGCCACCGCCTGGTGCCGTCGGTATGTGGAAAAGGTCCATTCGCTCTGGGTGCCGCCCAACGATACTAAAACACTCAGTTGGGAAACTCGCCGTGGAAACTTGGGCCGCTGGCGTCCACCGAGACCGAGCTAAATACGACAACAGCGCCACTCTTTATCATTTGTCTGTACTGTGGTCACCTTGAGCTGTTAGAAAGCCTGGTTTTGCGTAAAAACAAACGGAAAAGACTCTTTTTGTATGAAATTCATTGGAGTTTGGTACAAAATGATTGGCGCGTGATGTCTTTAAAATCTTTAGTTTGCAGGGTTTTGCGGCACAATTAATATTGTTTTTATACAACCATGTTCAGCGGTACTTTCAGGTAGCGCGTCCCGACCTAGGTGCATTTTAACTTCGGTAGTAAGGCGCGGCGCGTCCGCTGGGGAGACGGGGGTGGCACCCCTGTAGCCTCTTCCGCTGTGTCTGTTTCGGCGCCTGAATGGCCGATTAAAGCCAAAATGGAAGTCACGTGCAGTTCCTCGAACGGCCGCTGCGGGAGAAATGGCAGCGTTGTGTTCACCATTAGCTCAGTTCTTGTGGACAGATCGGGGCCACTTTTTCAGAGCAGTCTCTATTAGCGGCGAGATGTTTCGGTGGCGCCATCGTTTGGTTACCTTTCGTGACGTCATTACCTTGCGAACAACAAGTTCGATGGTGTTTGTAATGAGCATGGTGAAAGCCTGAAATCATTAACAGGCTTGAGCTGAGCTAGTTGGTTCATAGTTCACTTAAGGCCAGCTGAACTAGAAAAAAACATACACATAAAGAAAAGACCATTCACACCGATGGACTAACAACTGATTTTCTTTTTCCTCCTCTTCTACTACAAGCCACACTTGAGGGAACAATTCTCTTTTCCTCTTTTTTGCTTTCTAATTCACCTTAATTTTTTTTTCCTAGTTCCCTTTAAGATGCTAACCCCGAAGAAATCTTTTTTCTTTCTCGTGAAGCACGAGAGAAGGTGCACTAACGCAGTCATCGCCTTTTTCCTCAATGGCAAGTGCCTCTAGGATTTCACGTCCCAGTTTTGTTTTGTTCCTTGCCACGATGTTTACGTCGTAGAACAGTGCCGAACATTGACACGAACGACAATGGGTTGGCAAGTGTCCTCCTGCTGACAGGGTTCTCACTGATGCAGCGTGCTCCCTCGTCCGATCGTTAATGCATCGGCCGGTTTGTCCGATGTAACTTCGGCCGCATGTCAGCGGAATGTGGTACACCACCTCCTTTTCACACAGGGCGTATGGAGACTTGTGAACTGTGCCACACCTCTTCTCGTTGTTACTTCGCTCCTTGTTAACCCGGTGACACATGGAATAGGCTTTGTTTGGGGCCGAACATATTACCTGAACGCCTTGCCGTCCAGCTACCTTCTTCAACTTGTGGGTCATCCCGTGAACATAGGGTGCTACCACCACCGCATGTCGAGTATTTTTCTTTTCCTTTGTGCTTTTATTCGTGCACCCTAATCCACGCTTGATGGTCCTGCACACCTGCTCGCAGATCGCTACCAGGAGCGGTTTTGGGTACCCAGCTTCCTGTAGTCTCGAGACCTGAGTTTTAAAACTTCGCCCAACTTCATGGTGACAGGTCTTCTTTAGGGCGGATATCAGGGCTGTGGTGGCCACCCCTCGTTTGACATTCTTGGAGTGCCCCGAGTCAAAAGGTAGAAAGCCTTTGCACGACCTGGCTTGGTATCTCCAGCACACGTGGTTACTTTTGAATTCCAATGCCAGGTCCAGGAACCTGATGGAATTATCCACAGGGAGTTCATGGGTGAATTTGAGTCCCAAGCGGCTCTGTTCAAAGCATCGCATCACTGTGTCTCGGCACCCGTCTCTTTCTTCATCTACCTTTGTGTTGCATAGAATTAAAAAAATCCTCGACGTACCTGAAGATGCCTTCAGTCCTT